CAGATTGATTCTGTTAAAAGTCTGAAAATTATCGGTGCTCAATCTTATCTGAAATAAAAAAAAAATATTCATTTAAAATGAATATATATTGAATTATTTGAAACATCTAACTTGATCGTGGCTGGTATTCTTCGTCATATTTGATGTATATTATTAAAATATATTAAGAATAAGTACAACCCTGTAAATGATATACATAAATATGTACAAGAATGCCAATAATCAGTCAAAGATAGATGTTATAAATACAATATATATAGTATTAATAAATTAAAATAAAATTAAACAATACTAAGGGTTTTTTTCACCAACTTTTGATTAAATTAATCGACGATCAACTCGCAAAAGTGCCAACAGCAGTTTAATGTATCAGTACGTCTCCTCTCTCTTCCTCTTCTGAGACAAACTGTATTTAATTCTTACGTTGACAGTCGTGATGATTGAATTAATCGATTAGCATTAATCGGAATTGGTGAAAAAGGTTCTAAAGCCCGTTTCTACCAATGCAGTTTAAATAGTTAATCCCTAGTAACATTTTAACCAAAGTTTAGCAAGATATTAATTTCTACCAACTTTTTTCTGTGTGTTTAAAAGTCGACAAGAGTAACGAGCCAAGTCCGATTTGATTTTGGAGACCTCACGTGGAACCTTGAAGCTCTGGATTCAGGGCTGCCAACTTCAAATAATATAATCTCCATCTTCTTATGTGTATTCATATACGTACTAACACTAATATGATTCCTCTCGAGACGAACGAGACAGCGAAAGAGAGCGAGAGCCGTTCTTGCTCTGGTCGCTGTAGAAGCGACCGAAAACCGAAAATGCTTTCTCAGCGATTTCGGCCGCTCGGTGTATATCATAGTATAAGGGCATTAACATAGTATAAGAGATAACATATAAGTTTCAAGAAATTTTAGTAATCATATATACCTTTCCTATTAACGTATAATTTCAAAATGCGATAGTTTATAAGATATTAATTATTTACAATTTTCCATGCGCGTTATATACCATATTCATAAACACAATATGTAAGAATTCTGCGTGGTCGTGCGCGTAAGGTGCGGGATCAGTATTTGGAGATCCCACGTTCAAATCCTACGTTTTTTTTCCTTTTTTTTCACATATTTTTCTAAAATAAAGTTTAATAAACATATTAAAGCGAACATATTTTTATATAATTTAATTTAATTTATATACGTGTACTTTTAAAAGTTTTAAACCAACAATCAAAATATGGTCAAACGTTAGAATGAATATAAATAAAATAAATCTTCATTGTGTCAGTGAGTAGTAAAGAATTCAAACTAAAACTATTTCTTTGTTCAAATGCAAAAAAAATGAATCATGAGTTAAAATTTTTATAATTATGTTATATAAAGTTAAATGATTGATGTACCTTAGTCAAAATTGAATGTCCTGAAGTACATCTATGTATACATATAAAAAGTTAATTAATTATAAGAAAATTCAATTTAATAACAGATTCTATGAGATTATATTCAAATAAACCAAACAATAAAAATGCTTCGTGTCAGACTAATTCCAAATTTAAAGCTCTTACAGTAAAATAAGTAGGAGAGAGAGAGAGAGAGAGAGAGAGAGAGAGAGAGAGAGAGAGAGGAAGGGAGGGAGGCAGGGAAGAGGTAGAGGGCGGGGGAGAGAGAGAGAATATGAATTTTACAATGAAAATAAATTTATCAGATGGAATGCTCGTTTTCTTTTCAATATAATAATTGTAGCCCTGATTTTTATACTTTGTATTGCAATAAAGCGTCGTGTGTCTTCCTATAAGTGACACACAGTGCAAAACAGTAATCACGTTATTCTTGTCGAATAACAAGAATGTAATGATACACTGTGTCACACCGTGTATCTACTCAAAATTTGGTATGAAAATTCTTTCTGGCCTTTTGGAGCAGAAAACAATAAGGAACAAGGCTAACAGGCACCACTGCGAATTGTGAATTTTTGTATATTCACATATTTGCGTATGTAAATGTTATTTTATAACTACGCATACATTGTAAATATATATGTACAAAAAAAAAATTCTATAAACAAATTAATGTTTCTTGTAATAAATTAATAGTAGCAATATAATCTAATATTAATATTTTCAAGTAATTAAGTACGATAGCGTATATTCGAGCTTTGAAGGAAATTATTGTATAATTATAGAGTATTAAATGTTTATTTTAAAAGAATAAATAGACGTTTCAGATTCTTCTACAGCAAATAAAATATTTTTTCATGGCCATGATCTCTAAATATATTAAAATATATTAAAATATTGATATTTTAAATATTCTTTATTTGTCTTTCCAAAAAACTTAATGATTTTGTAAATAT